TTCAGTCAGTTTAATGAAACCTCAGAAACCGTGCTTGATGTAGATTTTGCAATTGCTGCTGAAACTATCTACATGCACAGGGTCATTCGCCGCTTAATCCACATACTAAATGGACCATGCCCTTTCATTTTGTAACAAAAAATCGCATGTTGAAAATTGTCATTTTTTCGAACAAAATCTTCACGCCCAAACTTGTTCCTCATCACCAGGTGGCCAAGAATGTAGTCAAGAACTGGTAACATCGTTTTACACCGTTTGCAAGTAAAAGCAGCATTCTATTTTTTTGGGTTCGTGGGATATGAGCTTAGAATGTTTTACTATGTAAGAAAACGGCCGTTTTCAAATTCTGCACATGTGCTCTTTATTTGTTACAAAGTAAAAGGGCGTGGCCCATTTGGTGTATTGATGAAGCGGCAAGTGCTTCTGTGCATGCAAACAGCTTCTACAGCAATTACAAAATATACATTGTACAGGATACAAAATATACATACACAAATATGCTTGACATGCGTTAATTTTTTAAGTTACACTGTCGTCTTCGCCGTGGGATTACGCGTCTAATGACTCTTCATGCAATAAGTTTGCACCACTTGAACTATGCAGCATTTTTGATGTGCGCAAAGTTCCTTTCTTTTGTTTCTGAGACCCACTCCGTCTGAAAGCAGATTGCCCGTGCAAACGATACACAATGATGGGACAAACATTCAGTGGCGTTGTTGTCAACATCCAAGTGAACACAAATCTTGCCGCGGCCACTTCGTTGCGAAAAAGTAAAACTTCAGAAACGGATGTTTTTTCGTCTCAAATAAGGCCCAATAGCAAATTCAGCGCGAAAACGAAGCGGATGCATGTCCTGTGCCGGTTGACGCGTTTTGCACGAGACGGCCATTTTTCAAGTTAATTTAATGTTGGTTGTGCTTAACTGAAAAGCTATCCGCACTGGACAGTTTATATGACAACATAGCATGTGAATGCGATTGTGCGTTAAAACAGGTGTAACACAGCATGTGTGCAGCATTTCAAAACGGCTGTCTTTGGTTAGTAAAACCTTCCAAGTTCATCTATCTTTTGGACCAATGAAAATAGAAGTTTGTTTTTACTTGCAAACGAAGTAAAACGATGCTACCAGTTGTTGACTACATTCTCGATCACCGAGTGATTAGGAAACAAATTAGGCGTGATCATTTTTTAAAAAAAGAAGATGAGAGCTTTCAAACAGTTATTTTTGCTACAAAACGAAAGGGCATGGTCCATTTAGTGTGAGGATGAAGTGGGAAGTGTTTCTGTGCATGTAAACAGCTTCTACAGCAATTGAAAAATCAACATCGAACGCGGCTTGGGAGTGTTTTTTTTCAACTAATTAAAAAACTACACACGTCTTATGTTTTAAGTTACACCATCGTGTTTGCCGTGCGATTCCGCGTCTAATGACCTGTAATACAATAAGACTGCACCGCTTGAAACATACAGCATTCTGGATGCTCGTAAACTTCCATGGTTTTGTTTCTGAAACTCGCTCTGTTTGAAAGCAGAATGCACGTGCAAACGACATGCAATGATGGAACAAACATTCAGTACCGTCGTTGTCAACATGTAAGTGAACACAAATCTCGCTGCGGCCATTTTGTTGCGAAAAAGTAGAATTCAAAAACTAATGTTTTTTTTCGTTTTGAATGAAGGCCAATAGCAAATGCAGCGCGAGTACGAAGCGGATGCATGTTCTTTGCCGGTTGACGAGTTTTACACGAAATGACCATTTTTCATCATAGTTCCACATTGGTTGTACCTAACTGAAAACCTATCGCCATTGGACAGTTTTTGTCACACCATAGCATGGGAAGACAAGTCTGCGTCAAAACTGGTGTAACGCAACTCATGTGCAGAATTTGAAAACGGCCGTTTCTCGGGTAGTAAAACGTTTCAAGCTCATATCTCGAACCAATGAAAATAGAAGGCTGCTTTTACTTGCAAACGATGTAAAACAATGCTACAAGTTGTTGACTACATTCTTGATCACTGGGCGATGTTGAAAAATTTTGGATGTGAACCTTTTCTTGAAAAAGTGAAATGTTTCGAAGCACGATTTTTTGTAATAAAATGAAAGGGCATGGTGCATTTAGCGTGTGTATGAAGGGGCAAGTGTTTTTGTACATGCAAACAGTTTCTAAACCAATTGCAAAGTATACAGCAAGCGCGGCTTGTGAGTATTTTTTTAACTAACTTTAAAACTATACAAACGTTAAAATATAAAGTTACTCCGTCATATTTGCTGTGGGATTATACGTCTAATGAGCTGTAATATGAAAAGATTCCACCACTATGAACATGCACTTTTCTTGATGTGCGGAAATTTCCGTGATTTTGTTTTGAATCCCACAACGTTTGAAAACAGATTGCACGTGCAAACGATACACAATGATGGAACAAACATTCATTGCCGTTCTCGTCAACATGGAAGTGAACACATTTCTCGTCACTACCACATTGTTACGAAAGAAGTCTGAATTCAGAAACGGATGTTTTTCGTCTGACAGGAGGGCTAATGGCAAATTCTGCAGGTACGAAGTGGATGCATCTTCTGCGCCGGTTGACGCGTCTTGCACGCAGTGGCCATTTTTCAACATGATTCTGTGTTGTTTGTACGGCTAACTGGAAACCTATCGGCGTTGGACAGATTTTGTCACACCATAGCATGGGAAGGCAATTCTGCGTCAAAACAGGTTTAACGCAACCCATGTGCGGAATTTGAATTCGGCCGTTTTTTGTGTGTAGTAAAACGTTGCATGCTCATATCTCTCGAACCAATGAAAAAGAAGGATGCGTTTACTTGCAAACGATGTAAAACGATGTTACATGTTGTTGATTACGCTCTCGATCACTGGGTGATGAGGAAAAAATTGGGACGATCTTTTACGAAATAAATGCAAATTTTGGAGATGCGATGTTTGTTATAAAATGAAAGGGCATGGTTCATTTAGTGTGTGGATGAAGCGTCAAGGGCTTCTGTGCATGTAAACAATTTCTACAGCAATTGTAAAATTCACAGCAGGCGCGGAGTGTGACGGTTTTTTTTAAATACCTTAAAAACTATACATGCGTTAATTTTTTAAGTTACGCCATCGTGTTCGCCGTGCGATTACACGCCTAATGGCCTATAATACGACATGTTTGCACCAATGGAAACATACAGCATTCTTGATGCGCGCAAATTTCCATGGTTCTGCTTCTGAGACCCGCTTCGTTTGAAAGCAGATTGCACGTGCAGACGATACACAATGATGGAACAAACACACAGTGGCGTTGTTGTCGACATGCAAGTGAACATAAATTTGGCCGCGGCCACTTTGTTGCGAAAAAAGTCAAAGTACAGAAACGGATGCCTTTTTGTCTCAAGTGAGAGCCAATAGCAAATTCAGCTCGAGTACGAAGCGGATACGTGTTCTCTGCCGGTTGACGCGTTTTGCACGAAATGCCATTCTTCAACATAATTCCACGTTTGTTGTACCTAACTAAAAACCTATCGGCATTGGAAAGTCTGTGTCACACCATAGCATACTCACCATGGCCATTTCAGCACATGGCTATTTCGTGGTGATTTCGGTGGTGATTTCGTGTAAAACCGCGTAAGCCGGGACAGAACATGCATCCGCTTCGTACACACGCTGGTTGGTTACGACTTACACGCGACTGGTAACGTAGCGTAGTGCGAGAAATCGTTTGCCGCGGGACATTCGATCAGCTAGTTCCCGTGTATGATGTTCAAGGTTTCAGTAAACTCATGAAAGGTTGGAAAAAATCCAGAAGCATTTTTCCGTTTTGTGGCAGTTTCCCTTGCGGGCATCCTGACACCCACAGGCCTTTCTCCTAACGTCACCCATTCTCGCCGCAGGAGTGCCCGAGGACGACCAGCGTTTCCAGCAGCTGCTGTACGCTCCTTACATGCCGCACCGGCAGCCGTTGGCGCAGCATCAGCACCAGCCGCCGGCGAAGCACCAGCCACAGCCGTCGGCGGCGCGGCAGGCACTAGGGCTTCACCTCACGCGTGTCCCGGAGGATGTGAACGGGCTGGAGCACACCGGCATCATGTCCAGCCTGGTGTTACGTCGTCCGCTGTGTATAAATGGACGGAGGGCGGACATTCGCTACCCCTTCCAGCTGTTCCAACTACCATGCATCATGTGGACGGCTGCCGAATGACTGGGTTGCTCCGGAGCCGGAGACAGCTAACGTGATCATCAGTTTCGACGTTGTATTGGGTCGTCTAATGGGAGTGGCAGGACAGGTTTGTTGGGCACGTGAAGACGCTGCTACGAATTAACGCACTGCGCTGTTTTCAACCATGATGTAGTATTTGTGGTGTTTTGCAACGGAGTTGTTTTGGATACTTGAAATCTGGCCATTGCTAGATGAAGTCTTTAGTCGCTTTTCACGAAGAGTATGAAGTGTGGAAACCTGACGGGCTCCCCTGACCGGCAAAGTAAAAAACGTGACACCGATGATGCGTTGTTTACTATCATTTTGGGACAAAATAATAGCAAACAACGCACAAATAATAGTAAACCAGACACCCCGTGTAACATGGGGTGTCTGGACGACTTCTGAGTCACTGAGGTCACTGAGGCACCTTCCACAAGCTACTCAGGTTTGTTACTGAGGTACCTTGCTACTGAGGTACTTTGTTACCGAGGCACCTTCCACAAGCTACAAGTGCCCAGGTGCGCCAGTCAGCCGATCTCTATCCCCAGGCGCCGAGTACGGACGGCGGCCACCACCCGCCTGTCAAGCCTTTCACGGCGATCTCGGATCGTGTCCTGCCCACTCTGATCCAACAAGCATGCCAAACTGAGACACGACCCAATCATGGCTAGATGCGCCACACGCCACGCGCCCTTCCACGGGTGAAGACGGCGATGGGCCCTACCGATGAGATGGCAAGCAGGTACGTCAGAGTGCATTACGACGAGCGTTCCCAAGGCTCGCAACAAAACAGCCCACAGCCTACACCGTATATTCTGCAAGCATAGAATATCTCCCAAAACCAACAGCCACCGCACAAAACGTCAACATGGCCGTTCTCAGAATGTATATCATATCATAAAATAGACTTCGTAGAGCCGAACGCGAACAGTTTAGTCAGCAGAAGTGCTGGATGTCTTGCGAGTGGTGGCTGCTAACTCCTTGACCTTGGGAATGACCTCGTCCAGCTGGCGTTTGACGTCTGTCATTTCGGGGTCATCAGCACGCAGTTTCAGCTGCTTTATCACCAAGCCTAAAAGGGACAATCAGCGACGGGTTATGCCATTATAACGCGACCAGATGATCCGCACCGTAAACATTCCCATAATCGGACGCAGCGCCGTGCGATTCTGGGAGATGGCATCGACCTTAGCATGTACAACATTGCATATAAGTATCCAAAGGGGGCAAAACAGTGTCATTACAGTGCCATTTCAGTTTTGATGAATTAGCCAACACCACGTATCGATTTTCGGGCTAGACAGTGGACGCACTACAGCCTAGCATGAGGGCGAAACCATGTCAGCACACTTAGAGCACTGCAGGCTATCGCACTCGAGTCCCGCGCCCTGAGCTTGGTGACCCCAGCACGCTCCTGGGCGGCTGGCATACCCACCCTGGCATTGCTGCAGGACGGAGATCACCTCCGGGGGTACCAGGTCAGCCAGCCGGGTTACAATGGCTGGCACAAACTTGCCCGAGGCGTGCAGCATATGACCTGTCAGTGACGGGAAAAGCATGGGGAGACGTTCAGAGGTCTAACGCAAACCATGTGCATGACAGCGAACATGTCCCAACTAAGCCAGCAAAGGTCACAGGAGCGCCAAAACAAACAACAGGCTGATCAACAAAGCTCCATGCCCACCTCGTGAAGGTTCGCGACTGCTGCTGAAGGTCACTGTCTCTCCGACGAAGTGCATTCACCAGTAAGAGTCCCCCTGCTTCAGTGGGGCGGCCTCATATCGACCAAGGAAGGCCCACTCAGCAAAGGTCGTGTGACCACCATCAGTGTGTGACAAAAAGACGTCACGGGCCACAGCCACACCATTCAAACCAGAGGGTCGGCCACAGTCACACCAGAGGGCCGGCCACAGCCCCACCAGAGGGCCGGCCACAGTCACACAAGAGTCAAACTGAAGGGCCGGCCACAGTCACATCGGAGAGCCGGCCACAGCCCCACCGAAGGGCCAGCCATAGTCACACCAGAGGGCCGGCCACAGCCCCACCAGAGGGCCGGTCACAGTCCCACCAGAGGGCCGGCCACAGCCCCACCAGAGGGCCGGCCACAGCCCCACCAGAGGGCCGGCTACAGTCCCACCAGAGGGCCGGCCACAGTCCCACCGAAGGGCCAGCCAGTCACACCAGAGGGCCGGCCACAGCCCCACCAGAGGGCCGGCCACAGTCCCACCAGAGGGCTGGTCACAGTCTCACCAGAGGGCCGGCCACAGTCTCACCAGAGGGCCGGCCAGTCACACCAGCCCGCTGGCCCGCCGGTCGGGTCCGCCACTGACCGCTAAATGTCTGGTACAGCAGCAGGGCGGCCAGGTGCAGCGTCAGCGCCGGGTCGGTGGAGCCGTTCAGCTGCTCCAGCAGACACTGCAGGTGGGCCCGCTGCTGCTGCCTGCCGAAGCCGGCGCAAGGATCACGTGCGTCAGCCCACACGCCGGGGGAGCCAGGCGGGTGAGGCGTGCCGCGCTCATATGGATACGATAAATGCGGAGCGCATCCGGCGAAGCGTTACGGAGGCCCGCTTCAGAGTTTACAGCTCCACTTTCGGCGCATCAACACGTCAGCCGGCGCGGTCGGTGGCTCAGCAGTAAATGCAGCCGATCCTAAAAGCACTACGAAGTCCAAACATGTACCATTCCCATGTATACGGCTTATCGAAACATTTGATCACCAAGGCAATTATGCCACGACTTGTCACACCGACCGCCAGAAACGGCGCAACGTGCGGGATGAAATCAAGGCGCCGCAACGTTTAACTTGCGCTCCCCCCCCCCCCCCCCCTCCCACGTGACGTCTGGGCGGGCCCCACCTGTCCTTCTTTCGGTCGGCCTTCTTGGTGACGACGCCGCAGATGGCCATGGCCGGATCGAGCGCCGCGTCGAAGACGGCTACCTCAGCCGCCGCCAGCGCCTTGTGCAGCCGCAGCAGGTCCGGCGCCATGTCCTGCGAAAGCTTGTTCACGATCTTGACGCGGTCCTGACGGCAGCGACGGAGTGACAGCCGTCAGAGGCATGGTGATGACGTCATAGGAGCACGCCGAGCACGACACAGGCGATAGGCCTACAACATAGGACAATGTTCATCACGCCTCAGACCCGTATATTCCTAGGGGCACACACACCGTCACCGAGTGGCCGGCGGCACCAACTGAATACAGACGCTGCGTGCTACGACTGCCGCACGTTTCAAACAGTAACAGTGCAGGCAGATCCAAGAACCATCCTGACCGCGACAGAACGTGACCCCTCCTCACAGCAACCGGCGCAGCCTCCTACAGCCTCAGCGCGATTCTCGCCCACCTCGCCCGACAGCTCCTTGTTCTCGTCGTACTGCACGTTGTTGTCGGTGGCCGCGTATCCGAACAGCTCATTGGCCAGCTCGGTGCAAACCGTGCGCAGCATGTGCTTCTCCAACTGGGAACGCATGTCTGGATGGAACTGGCGAGAGGGCGCAGCGGCGTGAGAGGTGGCTTCGAATGGAATGGTTCGGGTAGGTCTGGCGAACCTTAGCAAGACAGGCGACACCTCGCAGTAGCTAAAGCAAGGATGGAAAGACCCATCCATAGTCCTGATACGGCATTACGGCATTACCGTACGCATGTCCATCTAAGCCATATAGATGAAAGCAGCGGTCTTGAAAGCGGGCTCCAGGGTATACGTGATGTCCACGTGAGCTGCCACGCAAAATGCGTTTGGCAGGCGTTGCGTTTGCGACAAGAAACCCTTCCTAAATTGCAAAGCATGAAACGCGTCCGGCCAAGCACGGGAATCGACGTCCCATACAAGTGAGTCACCCCACGTCACCGGCGGGCACCGCACAGTTGCAGTCCGCCTCCCCGCGACCCAGGGGCCCTCTCTCACCTCGGCGGCCCCCTTCTACACCTAGGGGCCCTCCCTCACTTCGGTGGCCCCCTTCTCGACCTAGGGACCCTCACTCACTCTGCGAACTCCTTCTCGGCTCAGGGACCCTCCCTCACCTCGGCGGCCCGTTTCTCGAATTAAGACCTCCTCCCCCCCCCCCCCCCCCTCACCTCGGCGGCGCCTTTCTCGAACAGCCGGATGTTGAGCGCCAGGGAGGCGATCTTCTCCTGGAAGTCGCCGAAGTTGCGGCGGCGCGCCTGGCCGGCGCTGGTTAGCACGGCCTGGTGCGTCACCAGAAGCACCTCCTGGTACCTCTTCGCCAGCGGCCTGTCGCCGAGCCACACACACACACACACACACAACGCCGTCAAGCAGGGCCTCAGGGCGCTGTTCTAGACACACCTGGCAGTGTAGTCACTTCTCTGCGGCGTGGCGAGCGCCCTGGTGAGCTTACATTTCCCGCGCAAAGCATTGATGATCATGAGCCTTTCAAGTGAGCAATAACGGACCTACTGTTACCCGGATCGTGAGACGCAGTTAGGGAAACCTACCTAGGTTGCCACAAAGTCATGCAACTGATCACTTCGCTTACCCTACAGATATCCTTCCATACAAAAGCCCCTCCCATCGGCTGAGCCCTGCCCCTAACCCTGACCTGTGCAGATAGCAGGCGATCTCGGCGGCCAGCTCCTCGGGCGCGTCCTCCAGGGCCGGGTGGGCGGCCAGCGTCTCCTCCAGCTGCGACTCCGACATGAACGGCACCTCGTCGCCCTTGTCAGCCGGTACCAGGTCAGCCGGGGACACAAGTCACCGAACCGTTGCCTTTTTGCTACACAATGCACGGGGGCGGCGCAAAACATGCGCACTGGCGAGATGTGCTAGGCCTTTCGTAACGTCCAGTGTTCATGCGTTCATTAGAACTGGTGCAAACACACACGCGAGCAGGGTTTAGCGAACCCCAACTAAATCACGCCACCCGATCAATGTTTTTGCCGCTAAGATTCCAAAGGACACCGATTGGAACTTCATACAAAAAGATAGGCCAGGTGCTACTATCTGCACGTCACCGGAGCTAGAGACAAACAGGTGATATCACAAGGAATCCATTCAACGTCCGTGTTACCTTTACATTTACCAGACATTTAATCAATTTAAAAGGAGCATACCTCATGCTTGCGTGAATAAGAACACACTGCACGCCTTATCTCACGGAAACGAGCTGCCAGTTAAACACACATCCTGCCAGCCGCCATACCACGTGACAGCGCTCGAACCTCACCTCGGCTGCTTGCGCCCCTGCCGCGCGGCACCTCGGCTTCCGAGTCCGAGTCCTGGCCTTTGCGCATGTACTTCTTCTTGGTCGACTTGGTTTTGGTCTCTCGGCCCTGAGTGCCGCCGCCCGCCTTGCCGCCGGCGGCCTTCTTGCGCCGGTCGTCCTTCTTGTCGCGCTTGCCGTCCACGGCGTCCTTCAGTCGGCCGGAGGTGGTGGTCTGCTTCGGCGGGTAGCGGTGCGCCTCGATGTCCTGAGCGGGCACGCGCAGGTTCGGCTCACATGGACAGCTCGGGAGGCGGCGGCCAGTCTCCCGCCCCCACCACTTTCACACTACCGCGAAAAAAAGAACGCGATCGACCTTCGGAGTCTTGTGTGTGTGCGTGACTAAAAAAGAGCGTCAGTTCAGTTACTGTCGGCAACAACATCTACCAGCTGGCGGCAGCAGCCACTGTTACCGATGCAGTGCAGTTGGCTCACACCCGAAGCATGGTGACTGCATTGAATACAGGCATGGCGAGGAGTTCACAACATTATATCCCACTGCATATGTTAACTCCATGACATACTCAACGCAATGTCACATGGTCAGATAGCCCCACCTCTGCAGCGGCCGGATCACCTGTGCACTGCCAATGAACTTCAACACAAGCACACATACGCACGTCCCCTACGAGCTAAAAGTACACGCCCCCCCCCCCCCTCACCCACCCACTCTCACTCAAACGAGCGCTACCTTCTTGGCTCGGTCGGCCATGGTCGCCTCGAGCGGTTCACGCAGCTGGTCCAGCATGCGTTCACTGACGACCACCGAGTGGGCGAACACGGCGCCGCGGCAGTCGTCCAGCAGCTGGCCGGTGTCCTCCGGTGAGAAGCTGGACGGGAGCAGCGGCAGCACGTCCACGAAACTGCCGGCCAGCGTCGCCTCCTCTACCGACACCTGGAATGGCGATCTCGACGAGTTACAGACTACTGGCTCTGCCGGTCTGCGGAATATAGCAAATCCCGCAAGGTGTAATGCATAACATTCAGTTGCAAATGCCTTGGCTTAACTTTACACATCTATGTGACATGTAACAACAGCCAGGAACAATGTGTTCCTCAATTTGAAACAACATTTCATTGACAGCACACATTCCAATAAGTATACCAACCACTTCAGACAGATGGTGCGCCAGCTTTGCACTCATAGTGCACTCAATGCAAATCTTGCTTGAATGATCAGAGCTTGTAAAACATACCTGAACACAAAACACCATGTAATGCTCCCAGAAGCATTGCTCTGGACAGCCAGCAAGTTCGGATTTAACCTGCTTCACCAACGTGCATCCTCCTATCAGTCAAATGTCTCCCAGAACCTGGTACTCCTCACTGACGCTGACCTTGACATGTTCCACCAGTGTGTCACCCACAGCACAGCCGGAGAGGTAGCGCAGCTTCTCGTCCTTGAAGCGCCGCTTGATGAACCCCTCCGGATCCGTTATGCCGACTCGTCTCAGCGCCTGGTACTCTGTAAGCGCGCCACAGGCCCGCTGAATCACGTGCATTTAACATTCCTGCAACACTATTTTCAAACATGACGTTACGATTTGATTATCAACTGTTCACAGGTATCCCCTGCCCTCCATACATTATCGCTGATTATTTTCTAAAATATGTCGCAATAAGGGAAGCACGAAAAATTTGGGCGGATGTCACACATGTGACATGCTTGTTGATGACATTAAATCAAGATGCCGCATTGTTAACATCACCCAACATTTTCAATAAAAGACAACAGCAAATAACTCACACACCCCGCCATCTGTTGCATCCGAGCGTAGCAGCCTTACTGACCGACGCAGCCATTCTGCCGGTACTGATGGTCGACGAACGCGTTCTGCGCAGCCGTGTAGCACTCGGGGATGAAGACGGCGCGCACCGCCTGCCGTCCGCCCGTCAGCGACCCTTTGACCCGCCCCAATGACAGCAGGTCGGCCGCCACGCCTGCCGGAAGCGCCGGCTCGGGTCAGAGAGTCGCCGCTCCGACATCGCGCCGTGCCATTCAGAGGCCGTGTTGACGGTTGATCATAATGTGCACGTGGAATCGCACATATGAGCACACCACCACAAAAAAACATTCCGCACAACTTGCAATATGATTCGGTCAAGTTGCAAGACAAGGACTTCTCGATACACATCAGGTACGAAACGAAAACCCTGAACCCGGGGTCACACATTCAGACCAGAATCTAAACCATCCTCCTGGAATTGCCCCCGTGCAAGCCCCGTCCCTCATCACCGTCGCGTCCGCAGTCACTCACTGAAGAAGAGCTGCTCGCGGATGCCGTGTCGCTGCAGCAGCTGGAGGACGGTGGACGGCCGCGTCAGCGCCGACAGCACGCCGCGGACGCGCGCCGCGTTCTGTGATACGAACGCTTCGGTAAAGAACGTGCGCGGGTCGTCCGGATCCTGTTGGCCCTGGATCAGCGACCCGGTGCGGGGGCGCAGCTCCTGCGGGAGAGGTAGGAGATGTGGTGCGGCGCAGACCGGTGCTCCGGGCCGACCTCAGAAGAGCGTGGGTAACTTCCCATGCAGCCACGGCATTGTACGAGACGAACAAGCGACGTAGGCATGTGCGGCCCGTATTATGTCTGGTGAAAAACAGCAGTCTGCAGCGCGGTAAAGTCTGCAGTGCGGCGGTGGAGGCCTCACAAAGGAATGCGCAATTGAGGAGCATTTAATGTTCTATTCACAGTGCCACAGAACGGATAGTAGTAAGACGCAATGACTGGTGGGTGGCATTGACTATGCCTGTTCAGCCAGCACCTTTTCCAAAAATTCCGCTGGTAGGTCGTACTGGGTTGTCAGAGCTCCGATGGAAATTTCGCCGACTTGCTGAAGCTTCTCATTCACCTCCTCCGCGACGCCATCTAAAGATTAAAGACATCGTGGGGAATACAGACTACAAAATGTTCTGCCGAGTGCACGGGGAACATGGTTCATGTAGAATGTACAGAAGGTCTAAGCATTTCACCCACTGCACCATGTGACACTGTGATAATGCAAGACGATCAGGAGACAACGAGGCAACACTGACCTATATAGACACTGCTGATCAGGTAGCCATTGATCAGGAAGATATTCTTCTCGTCCTGGGCCAGTTTCTGTGCGCGGGCCTCGACATGGGTGAAGTCGATGTTCAGTTGCTGCGCAAGCTCGGGCAGCCCGATACGCCCTGAAGGCCGGATCATAAACATTCAGCGAACAGGCCCTTATCCCACGACACTGCCGCGTCCGTGGCAGCTATCACCAGCACTGTCCTTTTGCTTGACAATCCTCATACGCTATTTGCTTGCCAGTTCACGACCACAAAGCGTTCGCGTACACAAACGTCCCAAGCTAAAAGGGTCGCCAGGGAGCATCGGGCAGGTAGCAGCGGCGCCGCCGGTTACACACCTCCGTTGACAATCAGTTCATCCCTGATCTCGCGCCCGATCTGCTCGGGAGTGATATACTCCTTTCCGGTGTTGGTGTGCACCACATCCAGCAGCTTCAGCTCGATCAGCTTCGTCACAATCTCGATGCAGTTCCGCTCCGAGAGTCTGCCAGAGGAAGGCACGGGTCGCGGCGTCGAGACACGGATCCATTACGGAGCATCCTGGCAAACAAGAAGCTGGTTCAAGTCATAGGGCCCCTGGATGACCCACATCTCACATTGGAATGGCATCAGGTGCGTTCCCACCGCCCAAGCCTAGCGAGCTTGTCACTGATAACCATTCATGAGGGCATACCGCTGTGACGTTGATAAAAGCTGAGCCCGCTGAAGGTCAGCTGCCAGGCGCTTGATCTCATCCCAGTCTGAACTCATGGCCGCGGGTGCCAGCAGTTCCAGATGCCTGAAAGGACAGTGGAACTGCTGACGAAATCGAAATTAAACAGTTAACTGTAAAAACATATGACAGATAGTTGCAGAAATCAAGACCAACTTCCAATGATTGCAGCTGTATTGTATCCGCTATCCCATATTTGTCTTTGCTGTCTACCCATAACTCCAAACCATACCTCAGCCAAAATATGAATAAAAAAGAACACTGTCCAGTAGCTTTTGGGCATTCTAATAGCATCATACTAGTATTTGTAGCAATGCAATCCTACTAATGTGTGGGAACATCATTATGGTGAAAATTGGGAATAGGGGCCACTCAGAATAAACATGCACAAAGACTACATTTTCTACTGCAAGATGGCTGGCAGGATAGAGGGACTGTACCCTCCTATTCCACATTACAGCACAATGTGTCCCCCCCCCCCCCATCCCCCACATGGCACCACCCCTGTGTGAGACCCAACAAGAAACATGTGAGGCTTTGATCATAACTCTAACTCTGAGCAAGCAGCCTGCAGGTTGATGCTGGTACAAGGTCAGCATGCCCAATGTATGTAAGTTGTTCAGTGCATTAGTGGGGAACATTATTCACATAGCCAAGACAGTAGTCTTAGCCTTATTCCTAAGAAAAGCCAGGAGAATGGAAACATAGCTAGGTTGATATTTTGGCAAGATGCCTTGATCAAAACAATAGCAGAAGACTTCTGCTACTGTTTCGATAAAGACATGCTACTGAAAAATCGACCTTATTATGTCTCCACCCTCCTGTTGTTTTCTGAGGAATAAAGCTTATATTACTGCCTTACCTGTGTAATTCTATAGCAATTGAATACCAATGTGCAGAGGTTTTGAAATAAGTTGGCATCTGCACTCTCCCCAGCAAAGGAAAATTTTGAATATGTGCATGCATTACCTTGGTCTTGTCAAAAACTCACTTTTCAGGCCTTGCAAAATTTGACTTCAAAATTGGACATTTCCATGCATTTAAGATCACCCCAAACATAACACCCAATAATCTGAAGCATAATGTACAAGCCTGAAGACAACCAAGCTGGGGACTGACCTCATGTCTGGTAGTTACTTATCTCAAGTGAATCATAATTCAGCCACAAATATTTAATATATTAATAATGATTTAATAGTACATGTATTTAACAATTTCATAGTATTCAATAACAGTCACAAATATTTCATAAGCTAAGTCACAAATATTCTCAAATATTAGATGAGAGGTTCAATCTCCTACTCAGCTGTATCCGTGCTCCCCCCTCCCAACCTGGGCATCAGCCCTCCCCCAACTTTGAGCAATTGGTCAAATTCGCAGATATCCATTTATACACAACTTTAAGGAGAGTCTGAGTAATCCTTTTATCGCTCAGCACCACCCAACTCGTTTTCTGAAACTAAGCCCTGCGTTGGATCACAAAAAGTAACACCACGACACAACCTCTCGGCAGCTAGGGCATGAATATGCCAAGATCCACCCTTTCGGTCCAAAAGGGTTGTTGGCTCGGAAAAATATTACGAAATTCCACAACAGTGTAGGTTTACGTTTTTTTTACAGTTTTTCCACTTTGGTACTTGTACGGCCGACGGAGGGAACAGCTACGCTGCCTGCAGGGCTCGTGTACTGTGGTGCTGGGGAAATGCTGTGAGGCATCAGCTGACCTTCTGACGTCACTGAAAGTGTTTTTGCGTCTGTCCGTCAATCTAGCAGCAGATTGATATCCAATTACCAGTTGGATATTTCGGGGCGGCACAATCGCCTCCAAATTTGTTGTGCATGACCTTTTCGACACGCTGATTCCGAAAATCACTGTGTTCGGGGTAGGATTTTGCGTAATTTCCGAGTTATACGACGCGTAACATTCCAATGTGATATTGCGGGGGTCTCGATCACCTGCAAATTTGGTGTGCTGGGCCTTTTCAACACGCTGATTCCAAAAATCACTGCCTTTGGGGTGGGATTTTGCGTAATTTCCGAGTTATACGACGTGTAACACCCCAGTTGGATATTGCGGGGCGTCTCGCTTGCCTCCAAATTTCGTGTACAGGATCTTTTGAACACGCTGATTCCGAAAATCACTGTCTTTGGGATGGAATTTTGCGTAACTTCCGAGTTACACGACGCGTGACACCCCAGTTGGATGTTGCGGGGCGTCTCGTTTCCTCCAGATTTAGTGTGGAGTGCCTCCGGAACTCGCTGATCCCGAAAAGCTTTGACATTGTGGTAGAATTTTTGCGTAACTGGATTAAAACGGCGTAGAATGTGGCAGTTTTATATTGCTACCTTATTGGCAGTGAAGCAGCTGGATATTAATGTTGTCAAAGTACGTGATTCTCCTTACCTGCCCACGAACATGCTGCTATCCTTTTAAAATTGGTTAAGAATGAGGAAGTGCAGTACCGTGGGATGTAAGAATTTGAAGGTATTCGTTGTAATGAGCAACGGTATTTTTATACATGGAATTTTACCGAGCAATCTGATTTTTTGGACACTGTTGGACGGACAGCTGATCCGTCCTCGTGCTTTCGATTGGACTTTGGACAATCGTTCCCGGAAAAACGTCTGGTCAGGAAACATCATCCCACCATTACACAAATGCAAAGTGATCGTTCTCGCTGCCGCTGCTTTTGATTCTTATGACAGTACTAAAGCGTATCTGTGGGTCCGTGAAAAGCCGACTACTTTGGGATTTGAATCAAGTTTAAATTTTGTTTTCTGAAATTTGTACATACGCGAAGTGCATTTTACGTTACGACCAACACCCTAGAAAAGTTTGATTTAATTACATTTTTGGCATATGGAAATGAACATACGACACAATGCTTGGATATCAGTTAAGCACATCGGACCTCACAATAAATCAGTTCTAAAACGCCATTCTCAATGCTACCATCACCTGCTTCTTTCGCACTTATGATCTTGTTAATCTTGGGGTCACACACGCCGCGCTCCTGCGAAAATTTGATGCACCTCAGCACGCTGATCCTGCCACACATTTTCGCCGCTAGCCAGCCAGTCATCCCGCATGACGGCCATCACAGGAGTACGAACACGCGACAGGCAATGCCAGTAAAAACGTCGCTTCACGGGGGAAGAGAATCATCAGCGGTACATGGCCGCAGCCCCAGTTCGTTTCCATCCCCAGGCTGATCCACTGCGTGAATCAGTGAGGGATGCAGGCAACAAAATCCATCAGTGACGCGTGGGGACGAGGCTGGTTGCCATCAGCACCTGGGTAAGGACAGGGTCTTTGGCAATTAGCGCCTGGTGCCGCACGTCGTGTGCCGTCTCCTGCTTCGGCACGCGGCTGGCTATCAGCTGTTTGGGCCCGCTGACCACCGGTGTGTCGCCACCGCCGTCCGGCCAGCTCGCGTGGTGCAGCGTCTCCACCACAGTCAGCAGCAGCGGGCTGATGTGGCCAGTCAGCCAACAACATGGGCATGGCGTGCACAACCAGCATGCGCTGCTCCATCAGCGTCACCAGCGTCGTTGGAAGATAAGACAGACGATGACATCACTAAAATCTCAGGCCCCAGCAGTGAGGCACGATTGGTTTCGTCACAAGCGACATCTTGTCAGTTTTTGGTCAGGACAAACGATGGCAGTGACTACGTCGGACTATCACTCCACCACCTTAAAGGTCAGAAACGAAACAAAGCTGAGAAAGATGCCACTGGGCCATACCACCAGGCCAATGTTATCACATACCACACGGTTATTTCTCACATCTCGCGAACTGACCTTCTCCTGTGCACTGATACGGACAGGCCCAAAGGCGAATTACAGGACACTTCCAAAGCGCAACTGGCGTGTCACGCGTCGTTTATCTCAGAAATTACGCAAAATCCCACCCAAAAGACACCGATTTTCGGAGTCAGCGTGTAAAAATAGACCATGCGCACCAAATTTCGAGGTAACCGAGACGCCCCGCAATATCACAGTGGGATGTTACGCGTCGAATGACTCGGATATTACGCAAAGCTTCACCCTAAAGATGGTGATTTTCGGAATCCGCGTGTTGAGGTCATGCATACCAAATTTAGAGGCGATCGTGACGCCCTGCAATATCCAACTGTGGTGTTACGCGTCGTATAACTCGGAAGTTACGCAAAATCCCACCCAAATGACACATATTTTCGGAATCAACGTGTTGAGAAGGCCCTGCACACCAAATTTGGAGGCAATCGAGACGCCCCGCAAAATTGAGCTGGGTCGTTACGCGTCGTACAACTCGGAAGTTACACAAAATCCCACCCCAAAGACGATGATTTTTGGAATCAGCGTGTTGAAAAAGTCCTGCACACCAAATCTGGAGGCATTCGAGACGCCTCGCAATATCACGGTGGGATGTTAGGCGTCGAATAACTCGGAAGTTACGCAAAATCCCGCCCCAAAGACCGTGATTTCCGGAATCAGCGTGTTGAGAAGGCCCTGTTCACCAAATCTGGAGGCAATCGAGACGCCCCGCAATATCCAACTGGATTGTCACGCGTCGTATGGCCCGGAAGTTACGCAAAATCCCACCCCAAAGACGATGATCTTCGGAGGCAATCGAGACGCCCTGCAATATCCAGCTGGGGTGTTACGAATCGTATAACTCGGAAGTTACGCAAAATCCCACGCCAAAGGTAAATATTTTCGGAATCAACGTGTTGAGAAGGCCCTGCACAACAAATTTGGAGCCAATCGAGACGGCCCGCACTATCACATTGGAATGTTACGCGTCGTATAACTCCGAAATTACGCAAAATTCCACCCCAAAGACGGCGATTTTCGGAATCATCGTGTCCAGGTCATGGCAATTCGGAATTAAATTCGGAGGCGATCGTGACGCACCGGAATATCCAACTGGCCATTGGATATCAATCTGCTGCTAGATAGACGAACGTGTTCTTTTGGGCCGACTGAAGGCCATAAGGCATTTGCTGGCGATATGCAACACGTCCTCGAGCCTTGTTAATACGGATCTGTACTAAGAGGGGCACCGTGTTTAGTACCGATTTGTGCTAAAAGTGGCGGAGTTTAGGACGCATAGGTATAAAACAACGCAGTCCCGTAACTCAGGTCTCCACATCGGAAATGAGGCTATTTTAGAGGTGAACCTCGTGAATTTCTTTTCGTTCTATGGGAGTGGAAAACCGTCACCATGTTGACGTCCCAATTATCATTTGATTGCGAGTTGCTTCGAGGACGCAGTCGGCCGAATGTTGGTCAGTGGGGGGCGTGGGCAAGCAGCGAGGGAACGTGCCCGGAGAAACACTTGCACCTAATTTACAAAGCAGCATTTTCTACGGGATGAGTGTGGTATTGATATATCCTGGACTACAGGCCTTGGGGTATATCGTCTTGGGGGTAGTGCGGGAGATGGAATATGGTTCTCGGGTCAGGGTGTTTTTTTCCTACCTCATGTTACAAAAGAGCATTGTACATCAATCGTTGTTTTTAAGGCAGAACATATCACAATTAATCGTAAAACAGGTCATCTATACTCTTACCTTGGAACTTAACTGATTACGATACCGAACATCCGATCGCCGCAAACACACACCAGCCGCGACACCGGCGCCATTCCTGCGCGCGGTCACAACGTTACTGCGCATCAAGCAGCATCAAGAACCATAAAAATGTACGGGGCCAAGGTAAGTGAAAATATTTTGGATCATGTGTCACATGAATGCACCAAATTATCATGCTAATCTATGGAATGACCTTGACCTGACCCGACTTTGGCACCAATATGTTCGTAACACAACATCCGCACTTAGCCAAAGAGCATTTACTTTTTGAAGAAACGAAATGCGCCAATTGGCCCAGCCCCTGCAAAAATGTAGTCACACATCTCTGAGATGCTTTCTTAGGCACCACAAATATTGAATGAACAAATTACGTTCACTTAAGGTCAGGTATGAAGGTCAGACTAAAGTCAAAACCAGCCTGATTTACCACTTTAGGGATTGCTGTATGGGATAGTTTCTAGTGTTCATTTGGAATTTATTGACAGCAGGAACCGCATTCTTCGTCTTCCATTGACTTCTGAGAGGTCAGAACAGGTCATTGACCTAAGATGACCCAGTTTGACATTTTGTTTTAGGAACATACCGCCAAGCGTAATGTTTGTCGCTTATTCAAACGCAAAACTCAGAGCAATCTTGGATGATTTTAGTCACCACCAACTTGAAAAGGATAAACAAGGTCGCTGACCTCAAATAGGCATGTGACCTTTTGCTTAGAAACAGCTGCCTAGGTTCTGAGAGCACTTTGGAGACCAACCTGGAATTTGACCTTGTTTGACCCGAAGGTCAAGACCTAGGAACCTCAACCTTTGATCACACTGACTTCACGTACAGGTCAACGCACTGTGTAAATTTTGTGTCTCTAGCTTTCTTAGTTCCCGAGATCTCACGGAGGGTCAAATTGACCCCCCACCCGAGCGAATGGTATCTAGCCGGCCACCTGGGCGCGCGTTAATAGACCTTGGAGCTCATATTATGGCCTGTTCGGAGAAGAAATAGTCGTGTTGTGATCTAACCAAAAATATTTAACATATAGCAGCAGTCACATACACCACATTGGGGTGTTACGCAGCGTATAACTCGAAAATTACGCAAAATTCCACCCCAAAG